ACTAATTTACATTATGTTTACTCAGCTCAAAATATGTTGCTTAACAATTTCAATGTTATAATTCAATGTTATAGTTGGAAGTGCTCCAACTGATGAACCATTAGAAGAAAGAGAATTAACTAATGATGAAGGTGATATAATAGTTATTCCAGAAAATACACGACTTTTAGTTAATCCTATTGATATTATACCTATTTTACATAACGCTCTTCCATTAGCAAATCAAAGAATAGCTAAATTGGAAGCAGGAAATAGAGAATTAGCGAGAGTAATCAACGATTGCCAGAATGACCTACGGATGCTATTATATCCAATACAATCAGAGATTCTCAATCAATGATTGACAGAGCGACCTACGGACGCTGTTGTAAGACAACCTGCGGATGTCAAGGCTGTAAGAGGAGAGCAATCAGAGATTCTCAATCAAAGACGTGGCCTTCGGTATAAACGAATTGGATTGTACGCTATGATTGTAAATTCTTATACCTTTTTTTGAATTCATCAAATCTCTCTAGCAAGGTTGGTAATTTTGAATGACTCATATGATATAAAAATATGATGCACCAAATTCCACATAGATTTTCGAAAATATTTTGAAACTGAATATTACAATTGTATATAATTTTGTTGACACTACTAATTTTTTCTAAGATATGTATCAAATCATCTTCGGGTGGTACAGCAAAACTATCAAAATAATACATAACATTATCTTTTATAAATGCTGCTGTCCAATGAGTTCCTACAGTATCTCCAATATTTAAAATATATGATGAAGTACCAGAGGGAACGGTCGTTAAGTTTTCGTCCAGAGGTCGAAGTCCAGCCTGCAGCTGTTGATCATCAATATATCCTACAAAATTTAGTTTAAATTTTATTTTTTTTGATAAATCTATCAACTGAGTTGAACTAGAAATACCATATTCTTTAACGAGCTCTGACATAATTTATTATTAAAAATTATCTTTATGACATTATGTATATACAAAATATTAAAAACCTTTACGGTATTAAACAATGGATTCACTTATCCCAGAAAATATTATGTTTGAAAGCACATTGGACAAAACTCCAATTGATGCACAATCTTATCTAGTTAAAAATAAAAAATTAACATCATTTATTGACCAACAACGAGGGTCGGGTGCTTAGACATCATCGAAAGTCATCATTGATTGTCAATTACGAAGTGGAACTGATTTTGTTGATTGGCGAGAAGCTTAGATCACATTACCCTATCATTATAAATTATCTTGCAGGTGCTACTTCAACAGTAGCTGGTGCTATGACTAATAATTTCTTCACGACTCCTAAAAATTGCTCATTAATTGACAAGGTGGACGAGTTGTTATTCAAGATTGTGCTAACTTATCTCATTTAGTAAGTTTTGTTAAGCATAACACTTCGACTGGAGAATCAGTTGTTACACAAAGTGGTGATAATTACTATCCCTATGGTGAGTTTTCAGAAAGTCTCTCTGCTGTACTATTGCTGGATTACGAAATGTTGCCAATGCTACTACAGTATCTACGACATCATCTGTTGCTAATAATCTTGTTGTTACTGTAATAGAGGTGCTGCTGAACGTCAACGCTTACTAATTGGTGGAAATCGTTTAACAACATTCACATCGGCTTCTTCTGGCTTAACAGAGCAAGCGCCTTATCAGGGAGCAACTGCTACTACTACGATTGATACTACTGGTACTGTTCTATCCGATGCTCATTGCTTAGCTGTAATATATTTACGTGACTTAATAGTCCGCGAGGGCATCGAGGGAACCAGAGCTCCCTCTTGAAAAATTATAACTATAACGTTATTACAGAATCAAAATTATATTGATTTTCTGCTTCACTTGTGGATATTGCATTCGAAATATAATAAAGATATTGTAATATCATTTCAAAATGGATATCGTGTTTCACAAGTTATTATAGTTCATGGATGCATTTCTTGTAAAATTCAGACCAATACAAATCATATTGTGAGAGATATGTCATTCCGGACTGCAGTGGACACTGGATGTTAAAGTACATGTTCAGACGAATCCGATACTTCAGAAATCGAGGAAAATGACCTAGCCAGTCCCAACATACGAGCAGAAGTTCCCTCGATACCCTCGGGGACTGTAAGTGATTACTTTATGAAGCATCCTTTATCGAAAGGCGGATATAAGTTTACTTTTACTGTCAATCAAGCAACTACCATTCTTACATCAGGAACAACTACTACTCCTTTCTCAAGTGCTCTGACACTAACGGAGACTAGTTTAGTTGGTAGCTCTACTGTTCAACCATGTTTAGCTAATTTTGGTGGTGCTAATTGTGTTAACTAGCTATTAACTGCTACTTCAACAACTTATACCTATACTTTATTAAGCGAAATGATATTTCAGCTGATACGCGTCAGTCAGGTGTATTATGTGGCTACCATCATTAACGCTTTCTGATCTCGCCGAAGCTGAGTTATTGAAATCACCAGTGGCTATCGCAATCCATTTATGATTAATTCTGCTGTTTATACTAATCTTGGATCTTTAACGCCAATCAATTTACAACTATTTAGTGCTATTTCAAATCCACGAGCTTTGATTGTTATCCCTCAGTTTAGTCAACAAACTCAAACTCAAGTGAGTCAATGCTCTCCTTTTAATCCTAGCCCTGCTACAACTGATCCATTATCTTTGATTAAAACTCAAGTTCGTATCAATAGTAAACCGATTCTACCAGCTACAATCAATTATGGATGGAATCAATTTATTCAAAATACTTCTCAAATATTTAATGTGAATGGAGGTATTAGTACCTTAACTTCGGGAATGATTAATTTATCTAAATTTATGAACAACTATCGCTATTACGCATTTGATTTATCTTTAACTAGTCCTGATCAATGAGATGTACCACAACTGATTACTTTTGAATCTTTCAATAATAATGCTGTAGCAATCGATCTCTACGGCTATGTACTATACAAACAAGATGTAATGTTGAATCTAGCTGATGCATCGGTCACTAAATTTTAATTACAAAAATATTAATTATTGTATGTTTTTGTTCTATAATATTTAATTAATGTTTTTTTTCATTGAAATATACAACAGTCAAAACATACATAGTCTGTTAAAGAATCTTCGAATCTTAAATGGTTTTCTTTGGTTATAATTTACCAAAGCGAAACCAAGAAATTAGACGTTCAAGTACCTACTACTCCAGTACCATCAGCATCACGTCCGAAAACAACACCAAATAATAGCTCATTGATTTCTGAATTGATAAAAATGAATTCTCCTGACCTAGGACTGCATAAGAAAAATATCGTTTCACTAGCAGTTCCGACCGTTAATATTTGTGATCTGCCTGATGATGTGAAGAATGAAATTGAAAATGTTGTGAATGTACTAGATACTATATAAACTAAGAATGATTTAAAGGAAGTTATTAGCAAATTTAAAGACAACAAAATAGCTGGTAATTGGATTAACTTACCATATTTAACGCATAAAAGCAACGTAAAATATGCTGACATTCATGATAAATTATCAAAATCTATACAAAATAGTATGTTTCATTTCTTAAATAAAAGTAAAGATAATTTTGTTGGTTATTTTAAGACCGATATTATCCGCGCTGTAAAGGCACAGGGTGGTAGCTTAGTACGAGCAGGTGATCAATTAACTTCTCGCTCAGCTGCTAATTTTGGTAGTTTGTTCTTAAATGAAATAAAGCTAAAAAATAATGAATTAGTGATATCTAGACCATATAGTAACATCAATGAGATTAGAGTTAAACAAATTAGCCCATGACTGAAAAAAATGATCGTCGATATAGATAACACTCTCGAGTTTGATGAAAGGGATTATTCTAATCTAGCTGTTGATGAAAAGAAAATTATTGAGCGTATTATCAAAAAGCAGAAGCATATGTCTAATACTAACACTGAAAATTTAATTAATAATGATAATATGAAAATCAAAAAGAGACTCCGGATTTTAGTTAGTGAAATAAACGCAGTAAATAATTCCTCTATATTAATTAAAGAGGCTTTAACTCTTTTTAAAGAGCTTTATAAGAATGGTAGCATTAGCCACAGTAAATACCATATCATTGCCCGAAACGTTAAATCACATATTGACTAGATATTCATGTTCCATCTTGATAGTGCAATCAATTTAATGCTTTTTTATTTAATTTTTAATGTATTTCTTATTATTACTCTAATATATAATCTTATATGAGTCTATCAGATTTTGAAAGAGATTTGATTATTGAAAATTCAAAATTTGCAGATATCCATTTTGAATATTGTCGAGCATTCTGGAAATTTGACCATACAAATACTTGTAGAGAATTAACAACGCTTCGATCTTATGTGAGATGTGATAGTCATTATTGTAAAAAGTACAACTTTCATTATGGATATTCAATTACATATGAAAAAAATGTCTTACTATTAATAGATAGCCTACCGAGTACTACAACTGAGTTAACTTATTTAATCATGATGCTTATATATAAAAATATATCATTTAGTTATTGTATTAATTAAACTTCATATTCTGGGTCTAGTGATAATTGATATTCAACACTTGAAGGTTTGAATGTTTCCTTACATAATTCTTCAAGATTAATTTTAATTAGTTCAAAATTATATTTGCTATATAATGTTCTAAAAAATCCATGACAAATACTTCATCAAAAAGATATGAATGAAAGTAATTTTTTTTAAATGAGATTCAGCAATCATTATTGATAATTTTTCATATTTTTCAGATGTAAATGATATTGAATTTATAATTTCAAGTGATTATTTTACTGCTTCAAATTCAGGTTAATTTTTAAACCACTTTTGTTCTAATAACCATTTACAATAATTTTTATCTTTTAAAATACTTTCCAAATCATTATATAGAGCTGGCCAAGGGGAACAGGGCCACGGGTAGCGCGAGAACGACGTCCATGACCTGGGATGAATCGCGGCGACGATATGACGGCCAAACCATGGGACCTAACTGGGAACACAACTACTACGCCCGCCGATCGAAGGCGCATATAACGACGAAGACTACCCTACGCCCGAGAATCGAGTGGACGAAAAGGCGGACGCCCGAGCCAACCTGCGTGCGAAACGACGAAATCGACTGGACAATACTCCTGACAGCGAGGAAGAAGCAAAGGAATACCAGGAAGAACAGCGTAAGCAAGCTGAGCGGTGGCGAATCAACTAGGCCAACCGTCCCCCAAAGGAAAAGCGTGTCGACCACGCCATAGTGGTGCGTGCGGCTCATGATCGCAGGATGCTGGACACAACCCTACCAAGCAGCTCGGGATAGGGACCTTATTCAAGCGGACCAACGACGCCAAGCAGCGGAGGTTGAAGGCCCAGAATCAACCCCAGTGGACCTTCATTGGTGGTGACAGACGTCCAACCCCTCGGATCACCTGTATGGACAGAATCTTCCTGGTCAGATGGATGAAGAAGCGGGAAACATATGAGGACAAGCTACTGGCAAATGCGCAACTCATGGGTGGCGAGTGGCGACGGAGTGCTGTGGGGTGGATCCCATCCACTGACCGCTGCCTCCTGAAGGCTACATGCACTTATGTGTGGCGAGTACCTGTGGAACAACTTGGTGAGGACGAATACCGTGACCGCATCATGGAAATCGTCGGGCAACCAGCGACCAAGTGGACACCCACCAAGTCGGGCATGCACACATACTGTCGTGCGCTGAGCGTTGATACCCATGGCGACGTGACCAGTCGCCTGGTGTACCAAGGGACGTGTGGTCGCAGAACACGGCATCGGACAAGCCTGGAAGTTCTTTGCTCGACAAATGGACCACTGCAAAAGGATGGCTCATGTTAGAGTCGTTGATATCAATGCAACGCGGTAAGACATGAAACGATCTGATATGTGGCCGCCACCGATGGTTAAACTCGTAATAAGTTTCGCATGCAATACTTGGAACACACAGCGGACGAGGCAATTGCAGGTATTCAGTCCATGTGTATCGTATTTAACTTAACAATGAGGAATTGAGCCGAATCGTTTTGCGTGTGTACACGGCTCGACTTGAGCCGTCTTATCTCCGTGCTGAGAACATGGAAGGCATGGACACCCACCAAGTCAGACATGCAAACATACTGTCGGGCGCTGAGTGTCGACCCCCATGGAGACGTGATCAGCAGCCTGGTGTCATTTATGGAGAGGGTTGGTGATGTGATCGACGAGAACGGTTTACGTCAACAACTCAAGGACCCGACCATGGTGAGAACGTTCGTGAAGGTAGTAGCAGCGCGTGTCACACCCAGCTACCTGCTCGACAGAGTAGAAGAGCAAATGAAGATCATGCCGGCAAACAACCTGGTGGCCTTTGCCGACATCCTACGCGAACAGCTCGATCGAACGCACGATGCGGACATGGTCAATCAGCAAATGAACAGCTACGGTTCAAAGCGGAAGGGCGTCGCATTACGAAACATGCGAAGAAAGCCAACCAAGCTGTTCGAGACCAGCGGGAATTCCGAGGAAATTACCCACGTCCACCAGGTGGATACATCAAGCCGGAACGAAGTGCGGCGGTGTGGTCGCCGTTGACCTAGAAGCGAACAGGGGACCCACCAGCCACGAAGTACGGACCGCAAGCTAATGCGCGCTGAAGACACGATGACCGTCCTGCCCAAGCTGTGTGTGATGAAGGGCGCCCTCGATTTACACCAGGCCGGGATGACCGCGGCATGCTATGCTTTGTCTGCCAGCAGCCCGGACACATAGCCCGGGAATGTCCCAACAAAAAAGACGGGGATAGCGGCGATACAAGCTGGAAGAAGGGCAAGAACGCCGTCAAGCGGTTCAAGGCGCGGGAGCGCAAAGCGAATATGAAAGCGAAGCAGATGAAGAAGCCCCCACCGCCCACCATGGAAGATGATGGGCGCTGGGTGCGGCTGAACAGTGTGCTGAAAGTTCCTTACTGCCCGGACACCGGTGCATACCAGAACATTATGCCACAAGCCATGGTGGATGTACTTCAAGCGTTACAGCCCTAACTTCAAGGTGTCAAGTTGGCGGTACCATTTGTGGGAACAGCATGCAATCAGATGCCGTTCGAAGCAAGCTCCTACCTGGACCTTACGCTAACAATGCAGACGGCCGATGGGCCAGTCAAGGTACCAGGCAAGCGCCGCTGCTACGTGGTCAACGATGGAGACGAATTCCTCGTCTCGGACGACACCCTCAAGACCATTGGTATCGACATCGACCGCCTGTTGGAACAGGTGGCGCACCTACAAGTGGATGAGGATGGCGATGATCTGGAAGAAGTTGGTGGCGACTGCATGAATTTGCCCCAGCGATCGACCGTCAGAGCCGCGACCATGAAGGCGGTGCTACCTGTAGCCACGAATGAAGTCGAGGAAGCCTTACAAGGCATGATCGACGGCGCAGTCGATAACAGCTTTACAATGGAACATGTTAAGTACTTGTGCGATGTGCGCAGCAAGCATGACATATGGCGACTCAAGTTCGACGGGTCAGACCCACCAGCGAAAATGAAGCCGCTGAAGGTGACCCCGAAGGATGGGTGTGTTCCTCGTTACCGAGGAAGCACAACCTCCTGGAAGAGAGGTTCCTTAAGTTGTTTACACAAGAATTACTCGATGCAGGCGTGATCAAGAGCAACCAGTAGAGTGCGTGGTGTGGCCCAGTGAGCGCAGTTCTCAAGCCAGATGGGCACAAGTCATTGTAGTCGGCTGACAAGTGGAGCGACGATGACGTGCTCAAGAACTACCGGTTAACCAACGACTACCGCGTGCCGAAGGCAGGGACAATGCCATTCCAAGCTACCATCCTCCAGAACCTACGGGGCAAGGAAGCGACGGGCGTGTTTGACCTGTCCAATTGCTTTTGGCAGTTCCCACTGCATTCAGATAGCTGGGACAGTTGTCGTTCATGCTGAACGGATGTGTGTACACCCCGGACCGAGTGATGCAAGGCCATGGGGACAGTGCCCTCTAGGTACAATCAACGAACAAGAAGTGCTACAAGGACCTGCTCTACAAGAACATGCTGATCTGGATCGACGACATTTTCATGTACACCGACATAGTGGAAGAGTACGTGGAGGCCCTCCAGTCGTTCTTTGATCGAGTGGCCCAGTACGGGTTCAAGTTGAGTCCGGCCAAGACCAAGCTGTTCACGGACTAAGTCACGTGGTGCGGACGCATCATGAGTGGTGATGGCGTCAAGCAAGATCCTAAACGCATTGGGTAAAAGGCGACTTGGTAGCAGGAGCCTTCGTGGTAGTCAAAGGAACCGCTGTCGTGGAATCAGGCGACTTCGTGGTGGTGGAAGGAGCTTTGGTGATGGTGCTGGTTGCAACCGTGGTCGTCGCAGGAACTGCCGTCATGGTAATAGGCGACTTGGTGGTGGTTTCAGGAGCCTTCGTCGATGTGCTGGATGCAGCCGATATAGTCGAAGGAGTATTGGTAAAAGGCGACTTGGAGGTGATGCAATGAGCCTTGGTGGTGGTGCTGGGTGCAGACGCGGTAGTCGCAGGAGTAGCAGTAGTGGTGACTTGGTGGTGATGCTGGGTGCAGCTGTGGTAGTCGCAGGAACAGCTGTCGTGGTACAAGGAGCCTCGGTCGTGCATGGTTTAGCGGTGGTTGTTTTCGGGGCCAAGGCCGTAGGGTTGGGATCTGTAGTAAATTCCAGGGTGCTTGCTCCTTCAGCTGCAATGGTGGATAGCAAGAGGCCAATTAATACGGTGGTCGAGACGATGTAGCGAATTGTCACCATGGGTAAGTTTGGGTGTCTACTGCCAAGGCAATTTGAGAGTGATGAAAAGCGATCGCCCTATTCATCAAATAGCTCATCACCATGCCAACTTCCGCTGTACCTTTACTCCCTATGTTTAGAGACCATAGGATACACACTTCATATTAGTCCTTTACCTACTGTCTCCGACGTACCGCACCGGTATGGATGGCATAAGACCGAACCATTCTGGTAGGCGTCAAAAACCTTGTGAATAGTTTTATAGACGTAATCGTCCTTACAACCTCTTAGGTGCGACTAATTCGCACTTAAGAACTGGGGTACTAAGTATACGCTAGCATTATTTAAAATAAATTATGCACTTGTTGTCTGTGCCGGCTTGCACAACCAGCTACCGTGCTCACGACGGTAGACTTCGATGACAAATCCAACAGTGTCTTCATTGTCATTCAGGTTATGTGTCAATACACTTACAGTGTACCGAGGGAGGCTCGGTAAGTCCTAGCCTGGGCCTAAATAGGATCCACCGAGGGACTAATTAGTTGCTCCCTCGGCAAGTCTAAAAATAGAACCCGCCTACTGTCAACTGCACACACACTTGCACGGGTAGTTGATCCGAGGCACGACCGAGAACACTTCCCCCCTACAACGGGTGGCCAAACTCATGCTCCATGTCGTCAAGCATTTCGCCCACACCGTAATCATCAAGGCGGCTCATAGTCCAGCGCCGAAAGAGTACTGGAACGTCTTCGTAGATGGACAGAGCCGGCTCCCAAGATGACCCAAGATCATCGAGACCGAGCCACTTGACCTTCATTTGCCAGGCACCATCACTGATACGGAGGTCTTGAAGAGCTTCAACGTAGAAACCTTCATCACCGAATGCAATTTGCTCCTTCAGGTCTTCATCGAAGTCTCGACCGCCTTCGCAGTAAAGCCGGAGGCGGCTGGTATGGTGCAAAGACGTTTCGCCTGGTGGCACCAGCTGTTGCACTTCCAAAAGATGGTCCGAGACCGCCTTCACGACACGGCATGGTCCTTTCCAACGCAAGGATAACTTACCCAGATGCTGCAGCGCCCGAGCCACGAGAACAAAATCGCCCAAAGCAAATCGGGCGAACTTAACCGAGCGCTTGCCATTGCGCTGAGTTCTGGCCTTCGCGCGCTTCACGCCGGCTGTTGCTACTACCGTTTTGTGCATCGTACACAACGCCTCGGCAAGCCCGGTTATATGGCGTGCAGTCTCCATCTTCACCCAGTCGATGGTAGTTTCGCGGGCTTCCTCGGGATGGACTAAGCCAGACAATGGAGGAGTCGCCAGGAGGCCGGTAAACGCTGTCGTAGGTGCAATTCCGCCCAGATGGTCGGACGGATGTTGGTTCAAGGACGATTGGACTAGCGGTAACACCATAGGCCACTCCGTGGGACGCAGGCGCATCTCGCTGCACAATGCCTTGAGTGTCCGCACGATGACTCGGTTCACCACCTCGACCATTCCATTCGCTCATGGGCAGTGAGGCGGGACAAAATGGCGATGGACCCGAACATCGGACCCATCGTGTTAATCAGTTCGTTCTTGAAATGGGACCCACAGTCGCAACCAGGTCTTCACAACGCCGAACAGACCGAACCACTTCATCAGCGCCGAGGCGGTTTCGACAGCCGTTGCCGATACACTCGCGTGGAGGCGTACGAACCCGCTCATATCATCTTTGATGACTAGCACATTTTTGAGGCCACCCTCGGCCTCCGGAAACGAAACCCAGTCGAAATGGATTAGCTCGTTGGGCTTGGTCGCATGCAATGCTTCGCCCCAAGGCCGAGGCACAGACTCTCCGTCGACCACCATGCAATGGAGACATGCGCGGACGAAATTCTTCACGTCGGCTTTCAGGGTCGGCCAATCGAACATGTCGGCTTCCGAGGCAGTTGGTGCTTCCACGAGGCGGTGACCAGCCACACCCGCATGAGCCACCACACATATGCGCACTTGCATCTCGAGCGCATCGTCAGGGATCCAAATCTTCCCCGAGGCCGACAAAAAACATTTCTTCTCGGCGCTCCAGGTCGAACATCGCTCACGCTCGGGGTGTTCACGTTGTAATTTGCCGTGATCGCATTCGCCGTCGGCCATACGAATTCCTCGGCACGTAACGGGGAAACTAATGCCAGTTTCTGCATTCGGGCGCCTCGGTCGGGCCCCGCTAAACTGCCCCATCTGCTGAGGAGGTCGGCCCACAGATTGTTTGCAGGACTCAACCACCGCAAACGCCTCCTTCTCGACAATCAGTCATCGCTCGCTCGAACGTCGGAATGCGCCACTAGGAATGCCAACAGTTCGTGTCACTGGTTATTTGCAGGCAGTGCGAGATGCTCGGAGGGGACCTGAGTTGCGACTACCCCCCAAAACCCCTCGCTTGCATCGGTGTAGAGGCACACCATCTTATCAGGGTCCTGGTGGGACAGAGGCACTATGCGCTGTAGCGTCGCTTTGACCCTCTCGAAACAGGTCAAATGATCCTCGGCCCATCCGACTGAACTCAATGCCACTCTTGCCAACGAGGTTTTCTTGCGGGAGTCGGCTGCTTTGGCCGCAATATCCATCAACCTCGCCAACGGGGCAACTAGCTCGGTGTACTGAGGGATGTTCGCACGCATCCAATTCGTCACACACAGGAACTGCTGCAGGTCCGCAGCGGTCTGCGTTGGCTCGAGCCCGCACAGGCCTTGCACTCGGCTCGGCGAGTGCGCTACACCCTCGGCGGAAATTTCTTTCCCACACCAGATCGTCCGGGTCGTGTAAAATGTGCATTTGCCCAGATGCAACTTCAAACCGGAAATGTGGCAGATCCCCAGCACTTGTCGGAGCAACTGCAAAAGCTCCGTGGTCGTACCATCGTATCCCAGTAGGTCGTCAAGCCATCCGAGGACATCATGCATGAGCAGATCGCCGAACAGTTCGTCGACCACACCTTGGCAATAGGCCACTGCGTCAGACTGTCCCATTAACACCCGGGTCGGCGTAACAACACCGACCGGC